ATAGTGAAAAATTTAAAAACTGAACCAGCATCATTTCTGAGAGTTAAGAAAGTGTTTGTGTATTAAATACCATCATCCAACAGAGAGATTTAGCTGTTATCAACCCTGGACAACATGGTGAGTACCAATCTAATGATTGTTTTGGTCTACACCACCTCATATTTTTCCAGAAGTTATTTTCTTGAATACGAATGGATATGAATTTCAAATTGAAATACATAAGTCTGTTTGGAAAATTCAGGGAAATACGGATGATTCATCGTCCCAATTTTTTTGCAATTTTCCATTCATCCAAAATATTTCGCGAAAATATAAACGAAAAACAAAAAAACTGGATACTGAAACGTTGATATACCAATTTAGAACGCGGTAAAAAAGCTATGACGGTGGGTTGTGTCGAGGTAGCTAGAGGATTTGCAGACTGGGTTTTAAATTAAAATTAATCGCGAGCTGATGAACCCGGGTACCCCGTCAGTACTGGGGGTTGAGTTGAGGTTCTCCCTCTGACCAAAAGCGCATATACAATATTATATTCATTCCACAGAGCATACCACTGCTCTTTCATGATTCCTCTATTCTATTCCTCTTATCAATTTTGATAAAAAAAATGTCTTGAACCAATAACATGGGATAAAAATGACGGGAGAGCACTCGGGGATATCGTATTATTAACGTAAACTGCGAGTGAATAATTGACTCGGCTTAATGGCAGGGAGAATTACGAAGAGCGAGAGATACGTAATCCCCAGGTGACTGCAAAGTAGCCAAGGCTCAGCCGTTGGCAAAAGCCAAGTGCAGTATTCATTTGACGAAATGCAACACAACTTGAGGGAAAAAATAGAAGGGAGGAGTGGGCGATGTGTATTCATTGATTTATTGTACACGGAAAGAGGTGAACATGCAGAGAGAAGTTACTCCATATTGTTTGTTCTCGTTTATTCAGCTTTTTGTTACTATTTCCCCGGGGGAAATATATTTCTCCACAATGTGCCATTTTTACTCGTCTCCCGTTGGCTCTCGCTGTGCGAGATGAAAGCATTCTTCAATTATTCAATTACGTTTACTTAGAGCACGCGTGAGCTCAAGTCCCATGAGGACTTTGGGCTACTGGGGAATATTTCGATGATGTGCAAGACGCTATATACCGGGAAAGCTCTTCACAAATACCAGAGCATTATCGTGAAAAGAGTGTAAAATAGAAATAGAATGATGTCGCGGTGGTGGAGTATTTTTTATTCCACGAGTAGTTTCATGAAATATGGCAATGTATGGGCTGTACATACCGAGTAAGTCGTCTTTTCTTAAGAATTGGGTATGAGAAATATTTGCAGGCACTGTATTTGCTTCTTCCGGAAGTCAACACAGAGCTTCCGCCTGGAACGTAGGTTCGCTGGGAGATTTCAGAGGTCGATATTATAGTTTTTCTTTTCGGGGGATAAATATTGCGAGGGACAGGAAAATTGATGGTCAACATGTGATAATGATATCGCATTATCAATCTCATGTGTTTAATGTGTCTTTTTGGTTTCTTCTCGTCTGAAAGCTCAATGATTTATACATGATTGTCTTTTGGTTTTTTTCTGATGCAGAAAAAATAATGGAATTCAAATGATTTATTTATTTATTTATTTCATCTCGTTGGAAATATTCAGAGAGAATTATTATTTGACGTTGAGATGGTTCTTACAAATGAGAGAATGTGTTTGGAAGCTGAATATCAAGTACACGGTAGTGGGGAGATAAATCAGAGGTCGTTGGTATAATTTATGAGATTTATAGGATGGAATTGAGCACGTGGGTCCACTCTACTGTCCCCTCACACTTGCTTTGTCCAGAGATTTGTCACGGAGTGGGAATGGTTGTATCGGGGGTGAGTTTGGTACAGGGTTCAATCGCTCTTGACATCATACCCAGGGATTTATCTGGTATTTTCGAGCAGATCGAGGTTTCATGAGCCATTGAGATTTCATCCTCATTCGATTCAATTCAAATGACGTTGGCTTATCGGTTTAATGAATACGCAATGATACATCAATTTTTTTTGAGTTCCATTCACGAAGGAAACGTTAATTTTCGTAGGAGATCATTTGTACATTCAGTTTTTCACAAAAAAATTTGGGAGAGTCGCGAAAAAATGTGGTCCAAAATTCGGTTTTTAAAGTTTTGATTGCTTCTAGGTAGCTAGAGCTTGCTTAGCTTGGCGTTCGAAAATCCGAACTTTAGATAGAATTTTTGCCTTATTCATCATTCCGTCACTCACCGGAGGATGCATCCTGTGATGTTGGTGATGAGAGATTTGTTACAGTCGTGGGCTCGCCGTAACCACGATCCGTCGGCTCTTCTTTCACTGCAATACTTTCCGGCGGTTCATTACTCCTGGGACTGAGTTTGCTATTGCTCCTAAAAATCGACAATATCTTCACAGTCAAATCCATTGTACACTCGAGCTTCATTAGTCCATTCACTTACGCAAAACAATTAACTGGTGTTGCTGGACTCAAATCCACATAATTTTGTCCTGGATTTCCTGGATATTGTGGGTGATATTCTTCGCTATTTCTCCTACAATTGACTTCTTGCTTTACTCCTAGAAAAGGAACACTTCTGGTTAAATGATGCCAACAACCTGAACTGTACAATTCGGACTAACTGATGGAAAGACACAAAGACCTGCAGGAAGGCTAGGGCAATCATGCCTTGGTTGCCGCGTACTTAAATCTAATCTAGTCTTGTCAATGCTTTGGAATGATTTTGCGTCATCTGAGTGAAGGTGGTGTTGTTGAAGAAAAAAGGGCAGAGGACATAAGGGCACGTGTCGATGCGGAAGTTCGAGACGCATCGTTGCAACGGCACGTGAGGACGTAATGGTTTTATACTCCTAGGGGGTAGACTATTCATGATGATATATCGAATATTGCGGACTTCCGTGGGAAGGTTCATTCCCAAGTTTACTCAATCCACCGATCATTGACTTTTCAAACAAACATTACATTTTTTTTCTGCAATTTCGACCGATTTCGTAGACTATGGATTTTAATTAGCGCATGGAGGATGAGCCATGAGGTTTGTGGAAGAGCAAACATCCCTCGGGGTTCACGAAAAGCACACGCACGGAATTATGATATTACGATATTATAGGGGTGGCCAAGTTTATTGGAAAATTGGGTAAACAAAAAGAATCAATCTGCCTGATTTTTCAACGACTTGTGATGGGGATTGAGATTTATCCTGAATGATATTCATTTTGAGGGGATGCTAAAGTGGTACAGCTTGTAATCTGTTATCGAGATTTATTCGGTTAAGTGGAAAATTCTCACCCTTGGTGGAAGATTCCCGACAAATTTCGGAAGTCACTCTTTAGAATTTATTTTTCTATGGGACGTCTATGTCAAAATAATTTTTTTTTATTGCCTCAGACTTGACTAGAATTCTTTTTTATCGAATGAGACGTTTCTCAACTTCTGTTGAAATCCCAATTGGGAATCAAGCTATGAATAAATATCGAGTATGAGTATTGACAGATGTTATCAGCGTTAGGTTTATTTGCCGAAGCTATCAAAATTATCCAGCGAGAGATTACGCCATACAAACGTACCAAATGGAGCGTTCGGGCTCGTCTTCAACATTTCCGGGCGTAAGTTAATAGTGGAAATTGCTGCTTCATGCGCATATACGCGTGTACTAAATTATAACCATAAATTCGCAGTAGGATTTCTCATTTCCACGGATAACCAATTCCGCTAACCGATGCACACCAGAAGTAAATGGAACGAATATTGAATGCATCGTGATAGACTACCTGATATATGTTGAAATTCGGGAACGTACTGTTCACTGTCTTCCGTCTCACAGCTGCTTCCTGAAAATAGATAAATGCCATTTTTATGCGAGAGTGATCGTTTGGATTTTTGATCGGGTGATCCGAATCTAAATCGTTGGCCATGCTTAATTTTCTTTACATGGAAGGGTACGAAATGAGTCAATTCTCCCTCAGTCCCGAACCGACACACCCTAGTTTATCCTCTCCCCATTATATTCATCGCTTATGATGTCCACAGTTGGGTTATGCTGTTAATTGAAATTAATGCTCCCGTGAGTTGTCTTTATTTATCCAAAGATGCCAGTCATTATGTGATAGAGATTATTATACTAGTATGTGATCAGTCAAATATTTTATCGTCAAATCTTTTATCCACACATGGATACCTGTCTACGAACTCCAAGTCGAAAATGGCATATATCTGACAAACAAGTTAAAAAATTAGGTTTCCAGGTTTTCGTTCAAATCAAAATGTTAATCATCCTTTCCGTTCGAAGCGTTCATTATTGATCATCTATGATTTCTGCTGTCATAACAAATCATCTTTCATAATAAAAAATGATTTTTGATCATTTCCATCAAATTTTCATCTGAAAAATCAAAAAAGAAACGCCCGAACAGGGACTCGAACCCTGGACCCTCAGATTAAAAGTCTGATGCTCTACCGACTGAGCTATCCGGGCCATGGTTAGCCGGTTCACTTTGCTGTATAAGAGTCTCTCGTGTGACGTAAGCCATGACTTATCATCGGAGCGTTCCTGCCTTTACCCAAACTCAATATTCCTGCTTTACTTTCTAACAAATGCGGTTTTCTAATTGCTTTTGATTTCCGACAAGCAACACTCAAGGTTCAGGCTTTCATCAAATTTAGATCACATGGCTATCCAGCCTTAAGATAGGAATTGGCAATCTGACAATTATATGAAGGAGACGAGTACCCAGGGTTCATTGATTTTTTACGGTTTGCCAGGGAACTGTTCGTCGTCTAACGGAATTCGTGAATATCACAACCTAGCCACATGCTAGGATAACCTGATTGACCCTGATCAGGTAGTTAATCGGCTTCGCTTTTTTTATTAAGTCAGACGTTTTGGACGAGAACTTTACTGATTTCATTAGACTTGCTTAGAAATATTTACCATCTTGAAGCCAATGTTCTTGTCGGAATTCCGGGGTTGGATATAGAGAACCTGTAAAAAAATTGAAATGATCAGAATTGCCATTGCTCTGAATCCCTGTTTTTTTTTGTTCCGGCCGAAGTTAGAACAAGGAAAACTAGTCATGGATATAAGGCATTGAGTTCTATATGTGTGAGAGGATTTAATGGGTATCGTACGAAATTCGTCACGGGTGTCCACTCATCGATAACCTCGTTGTCCACACATCCAAGATATCGTCAGTTGTAGGAATCGAATCAGTGGGCAAATCACACCTCATTGCCCCCGGATAATGATGGCACTCTGGTAATTCCCTATCCGTAGATATTTTCTTAGTGGTTCAAAATGGATTCATTCTTACTCATCGTTGTCCTCCTCATATTGATCAACATATTCTATCATACTGTGTTCAATGTACATTTTGATTGAATCTGACAATCAATATTGACAATTGAGAGGGAATCAGTTTATTTTCGTGACGTGAAAATTTCAATACTCTATATTCTCAAACCCAGGAAAAATCAAATGACGTTCAACAGAAAAAAAAAACCGTTCGACGCGAGACGTAACACGATTACTATGGAGAAATTGCGGCATTATAGACGGTGATTGAGTTACGAATTGAAGGGTCTACCCCCCTGGTTTTGCGAACGAGACCAGCTCTCGTGGCATGCCAAATGCTAGACATAAAGTGTCAATCACTGGCATGCCGTACGCGAAAATTTATTTCGTTTTTTCAATCTCTTTTTCACGAGTGTTGTGAATGTCAATATTAAATCGCTTGAATTATGTTTCGATTCTTTAAGAAATGGAAATAAATTATTTCAACTGATAGGTCAATGTTGTAACGGAGATAAAAAGAAGTCGTTCGTCTGCTTTAGTCCATTGAACTTGTAAAAGATGAAATGAAAGACCACAGGGACATAATAACTTGGTTGATGCGTCGATATAAAGATATAGACTGGTCGGAAAGTCAACCTGCCAGTGACAGCTTTCCTTCAGATGAGGGGGGACTGTGGTGTCCTCCCTCTTGTAATCACGCGTCTACGCGTGCACTGAAAGCCACATTTTAGTTTTTACTCTGTGTGAGGGCATCAAAGAAGATGTACCTTCAAAGAAACTTGTACTACTTTCGATAGTCCTGATAGTGTAATACATCATCTAAACTTTTAGCTTCAATTTACTCACTGTGATGGCTTTTGTCTGATGGTGTATGATTGACTGGATATGCTGAGCAGTAGTTGGGGTTCAATCCGGGGTGCACTGACTCTGTCAATCTCGGAAATCCCTCGTTTGTCTGCAAAAGGATAAGATTTTTAATTCAAATTTGTTACAATTTTTTCATCAATGTCATTCAAATCAGAAGTTCAATCCGTTTGATCCACACGTTTGTCCGGGTCGTTTGATCATTTCGGTTTGTTTAAATTGTTGACAATTAATTTTGAAATATTATTTAATTCGAATTGTTTGAATAAGTTCGGGATTTGTCGGTAATTGAGCAAATGAATTTCAATATTTAAATTCCAATTTTCGTTTGGTAAAATCAATGAATGAAAATATTGAGAGGAAGGAGTACCGTAGGGGGATGAGTCGATAGAGTGAAATAAAATGCGGGATTGAAGTGAGGTGAGCTCGATTGTAGAGTGAGATGAAATACGAAGACGGAGGACATCCGGCGAACGATTGGTAGGTTTCCTCCTTGCGGAGCAATCTTGTGGTAAACCCAGTTACCGGCCCCCGTGAATTCTCGGTTATTAACGAGGATACCATCGTGTACAATTCGTGATGTATATTACGGGTTTTGCACAAATGAAATTTCAACCCTTCGATTACCACCCAAAATCGTCACTTTAACGTTGGCTTATCAAAGGTCAGGATCTGCCTCTGGGGGAATGTGGATTACATAGTTTTTATCATGTTTTGAAAGGAAAATCTCCACTGTGATAATAAATACGAAAACTTATCAGATAGACATTGATAATACGATCTCCCATGATGACTATTAATGACTACCATTAATCCCTAGTCTAATATCCGGCCGCGGTTTTAATTACATTCATCATTAATAATAGTTTTCCCATCCGTCTGCCAAAACCAGGGATAAAACCTCTTGGGTATTCACTTCTCAGTTAAACTTATAACATGCGTCAATGCTTCGAGTTGACATACGGGTCGATGGAGTGAATTAAAGGGCTAATGACTCGTGATAGAAAAGCACAAACACGGTCGCGTGTCAACCAGGATCGTGATCACTTCCCAGGACGGTGACTCGATTTTTTTTTTTCTGTCTCCCTCAGGATAAATGTTTCGATTTCATTCGATTCATTCTTGTAGACTCATCATTGCTGAATTGTTTGTCCTCGTGTGAGTCCCTCGGTGAATTTTATTGCTCCTGGCGAGGGGATTTCGAGGACTGCTTGTCTAGGTTGGTAGTCGCGTGCACTGAAATTGATGCCTTACTGTGACTATTGGGGTAACGCCCCGTTACTTCATTTTTTTGGGGGGGCTAAGGGGGGCATCTCTCTAAATGCAGGGGGAGATGCTCTCTTAACCGACACTCGTAATTCCACACTTCGATATGGTTTATAATAAAGTCATTCATGGAATTAGTTCATGTGAGAACTTATTTCGATAGTCATTGGTCATCGTTCAAATGGATTTTTCTTATTCCATGGAAAGGTCAGTGAAATAATGATAGCCAGGTTTCTCGAATATTCATTTATTTATTTATTGTCATCTATAGCCTACTCGACCGGAAATCCGAAATACCCGAAATCTTCGAATGATACTTGACATTCTTTATAAAATTTGGGTCTACATAAAATAAATCGAGATGAAGGGGGAAATTGAAGTTCGTTGCTGAGGTACTGTGGATAGGTTTCTTGTAATAATTGATCTTCAAGATCTCTTGGTCTTTCAACCCTTCAGATTGCCTTCTCCGCTCTTTTCGACTTTTCCATGAGATGGCTACTGGGGTGTGAAGACAATACTACACCAAACAATAGTTTTTTTTCCATCGAACATGAGGGAAAAGTTGGCCGTCAAAGAGTCGATCCGGCTAATTGGTTTCTCTTGATGAGACTTTGTTTCTTCTGTCTGAGATTTGGCAGAAAGGTGTTGATCAGAGCTTTCATGCGAGATTTTTTTTTGTAGAGTACAATAGGATTTTATTCCAGTATAAATATTACTTTACCGGAATTGATTGGAATTCAGAGGATTTCTTGAATTGATATTCGAAATCTAATCCATCCCACGGTACTTGGCGATTCGGATTTCGAATTTTGGATGTCATATTGTGCAGAACGAATGTAGGATTTTTGAGTGAAGTGAGATGTTTACTTTCCACTTGTAATAATTATAGGAGATAGATGGGTCAGAGCGTGACAATGAATTGTAACGTCAACGCCCAAGAATAATAAACTTCTCATGTTTGATGTAGTCGATATACCCCTCAAGTGTCGATACATGGCACGCGACAAGAGTGTCCCACGGGATCCAAGTGTCCAACCACCCCTTTTGTGTCCTCTAAACACGTAATTGTCACTCCCCACCTTTCCTGTATGCGGTAGCATCCCCATATCGGGGGTAACACGCTTTTACGAGGGGTGCCAAAACCCGTGGGTGGCCCATTCAGTTTTCCCCCTCTTCTTATTCTGTCCCACTCTTGCTCTATCTGTTTCAATGATTTCTATTCTTTTTTTGAATTTATTGGGTGTCATTTTACCCGTGATGTACCGGCGCTCTCGAGGACCACTTGATTTATGTTTGTTGGTTATGAAAATCGCGTGATTCCCACACAATTCTCTTTCTCTATTCTCTCCCCTTGACTGTTTTTTTTGCGAGAATCGTTAATTGAGATGACATGGAATGAGCATATGCTTGCACTCGAGTTTCCCAGGGTGGGTAGGATGGATGACACCTCGGGGAATTTTTGTTTGGGATAACCCGTGGAGGCGGGATGGGGTTGTTGGGAAAACACTTATTTGGGGAGATTAGGGATCATTGAGCATTTTTTATTTATCCGTTGATTCGGGATTTTTTTTTTCATTCAAATGTCAATTTATCCTTTTTTTGGTGTATTGGTTGTTTTACTCATTTATTAATTTGATTTATTTATCGATTGATGGGTTGATTTTTTTTTATCATCCTTGTCTATTTTTTTTCCGCTTTCTTTCCGTCTTGATTATTCATTTTGTGGGATTGCATTGAAATTTCACATGGAAATTCGAGAGACAAAAGAAAATTTCAGGATTTCGGCATTTTTTTTTTTCACCGAGAGTAAAACAAATCCCAAAAAAAATCACAGCAATGAAAAATAAAATTTCTTCAATTTCCAATTATGATAAATAAAAAAGAAACTTGCCATTCTCGATAAATCCGTTGTAACAGGAACCTGTTGGTCGGGAATGCTCATCATCTCGATTTTAATCACCAGCACTAATCACTCAAAAAATCCTTGAGCCACATCAACACAGTATATCGTACTAATGAATTAAAATTTTTTCTTCATACCGCAGAAGTATCAGTTGATCGCGAAAAAAAAAAACGGGAACGATCGCGAGATGAACCTCAAGGCTCGAGTGACTTGATCAGCTCTGAGGGTGAGAAAACAAAAAGTTTTCCAGTCACCGGGAAAATCCTAGGGGGTGTGCACTCGTGTCCTGGGTAGCTTTGGTACCGCCCACTCTGTAACCACCCCCGCGAGTATTCACTCGTATTCACCACTTTATCACGAGTACTCCGATTCCACGGTATCACCCCCAAACCCCTAAAACAGGGGCGGGGCCTCACTCTCATTGGACAGAACTTTTTGTTTGGTGGTTTACAAGGTATTCGTGCTATCCTGACTCCCTGTACTCTCTGTCTACTGTGCAGTCCTATTTTTTCTCTCATTTTCTTTCAATCCCTTTCCAAGGGAATTGGAATTCTGGTGAACACGTCAGCACAATTCTATCACAAATTTTCACTCCAACTTTTCGACTGGTTCATCGTACACCCGACAACCTACGAATATCACATGAGATTTTTTTTACTTTAGTTTTGTCATACCCAAATCAATAATATTTCCATAAAAATGGAAAAAAGCACCGAAATTTTCTGGGGGATGAATTTTTTTTATTGGAATACGTGGAATTATTCATGCAATTGGTTTTGGATGATATTTAGGCTATTCTATCCCGCCGAAATTTAAATTCATAGGGATTCGGATTATTAACTTGTCTTTTATCACAAGCTGGTCAAATAACTTGACTTGAAAATCGTCAATAGGTGGCGGTACTTTTGAAATCCTCAGAACCACTAGAATTATTTCTCATGTCCACAAATCACATGCGCAGAATGATAGAAAATACGCCCGGCTGATAAGTAAACTGGAGGGCTTCAGCTGTTCTACTTTATTCAGTTCATCACAGAATCGTTAGGATATCTCAAAATAATCCACCCCACTGGAGTCTGTACCGTTTGCCATAAGAATTTCATCATTGCCTGATTCCTCTGATCGATGAAAGCGATAGGATTTTATAAAATGGTGTGAACAAGTAAAAGTAATTGAAGGGAAAGTGAATCTTCTCCATCTCCAAAATAATGGCATGTTCATGTCAGTGATCATCGGGCCACTTTGTTACATCATGTAAGTTTGCTCCACTGATTATCGAATCTTCATTGTTACTCACTCCTGTCAATTGTTCTGATACATGACTGTGTGACCTTCAGCTTCTGAACAATATTTATTCAATTCATATAAATAATAATGGGATTATTCCACTTGGAGCCTTCAGAATTTCCTTGGTTTTTTTCCTGGGATTTCCTTGGTTTTTTTTTCCTCATTTCGATTTCACCCCATGCTGTATTGTTTATGGCACATGTCTCATGGTATTACGTCGTTGATCTTGAGCTCCATTTCGTCTATTAATATAATATAATATGACATATATATTCGTTTACCAGTGTCACACGTTCGTGTTGCTAATATTTTTTATCTTCTCCGACTTGGGGTCGTTAAGCGTTGATAATTTGGCGTTTTGTAAATGGTTTTTTCAGTTTAGTAATCGGGTAGGAATGCCCAAGTGTCAGTGAAATGCGCCAGTTCAGGCAGTGTAAAATTACAAGTAACATTGGAAGGAATAGAAACTATTCCTCATTTTTGCATCTGAGTCAAACGATTGGACCAAATCCTCAAGATGTCTGCGGTAGAGGCACCACCTTTCATTCGTACCATAGAATGGGACATGATGGACAAAACAAAATTCTTTCCTCTGAGTATGCTGTCGTCGTTTTCCGTTCGTTGCTGTTTGTATCCTCTGACCGTTATAAAAACAAGGCTGCAGGTACAAAGAAAAAATCACATGTACACAGGCAAGTGAATTGTCAGAAAGGGGAGAGTATTTTATTGGTGGTGTTGGTCAGCGAATGATAATCATTGTCATGATATTTGCAGGGATGATAGATGCCTACAGAAAAATATACAGAACAGAAGGATTATCCGGCCTTTACCGAGGCTTTTGGATAAGCTCAATTCAGATAGTCTCAGGTGTATTCTATGTATCGACGTACGAGGGAGTAAGGCATATACTCAGTCAGGATCCATTCACAGCTGGACTGGATTCCAGAATCAAAGCACTGATTGGCGGTGGAGCTGCAAGTGCTGTTGCTCAAACCATTGTTGTTCCCTTTGACGTATTAAGTCAACATCTCATGGTACTAGGTGTCAATACAAAACATGGCAAATTGGTCTTTGATAAGGTGATTTGGTGGTTTTTCAGTCATTCGATGGTTAACCGATGAAGCAGGATGGGAAATTCACAGAAAAATCGAATATCTGAATTTCAAATGAATTTTATTCGAGTCATTGAAATTCAGGCATTTGTTTTTAAGAAGAATTGAGATAGGATTGTTAGGAAAATTTCGTAGAGAAAATTCATTCCAATATTTCCATCTTGAATTAATTGAAATTTTAGTCTTATGAAGAAATATTCATCCGAGGTTCTTTCAGATGGGCATGAATCCACTGGGACTCAATCTATCTCCAGGTGTATCGAGGGCATACATTTCTGGGGAAATAATTAAATTAATTTATCAGCGAGACGGTGTCAAGGGATTTTACAGGGGCTATGTTGCATCTCTCTGTGCATATGTGCCTAATAGTGCATTGTGGTGGGGTCTCTACACGTTTTATCAGGGTATGTGCTATCGATAGAATTGAAAGTTCTTTTTGTTTTCACTCGAGGTTTTATCCATTCGTCGAAAAATTGTGTTCTAGATGAATTAATTAGAGTTTTACCGTGCTGGGTATCTCATCTATTCATCCAAGCAGTGGCTGGAACACTGGGTGGATTTACAACAACTATTATAACAAATCCTTTGGATATTGTGAGAGCGAGACTTCAGGTTCAACGACTGGACAGTATGTGTCAGACATTTAGAATTCTTTGGATTGAGGAGGGGCTTAGTATGTTTAAGAAGGGATTATCAGCGAGACTAGTTCAATCTGCCTGCTTCAGTTTCTCTATAATAGTCGGTTACGAGACTATCAAGCGAATGAGCATCAATGATGAGTACAAGAGCTTCATCCGTTGGTGAAACAAATGATTGAATTTTTTTTAATTAAATCATGTGACAGTTACCTAAAGACAGTGAGAGCAGAATTTCATTCCGTAACCAGCGTGCAAAAATCTTTCGTTTCTTTTTTTAATTCTTCAGTGGCAACCAAAGCATCATGTAAATAAGGCAGACAGTCATATTTATATTTATGTAAATATGGGTGAAGTGTTTCGCACGTAGATCGTACATAATAATTATTGTTGTATCTGAGAGGTGGTATTTGTAAATGGTCTGTACACAATGACGAGTGGACATCGTGAATAGAGTATTTCAAATTGAAATCATAGCTTTTTTATTTCGCTGCGTAATTTATTATCGGGCAGGTTTTAATTATCAAAATTGGTTTAATTATGAATTAATCGGGAATCTAGTGGATATGATGTGCATTAATTTTTTTTCTGACTGCATAATCGAATCCTTTGAAAAATTATTGGAGCTGCAGAAAATACTTACCGTGTCACCACGACTAGATGCTATATTTACCTGATGAAAAGAAATGAGTTACACAAATCAAAACGTGAAGATGATTCTGGGATATGAAAAGACAAATTAATATCTCTATATATATGTATTATAAAGGACAGCACTGAGAGACACATTTTTAAGGTACTTAAGTGGTCATACAATGGATTCATCAGCTTGTACATGAGTTACAATAGTGTTGACATTTGTTTTTTAATACGACCTACTCAGAAAGAAGAACAAAATCATCTTAAAAAAAAAATTAAAGAGCATTGAGTTTTTAAACAATAAAAACAGACGCACTGCGTTTCTCTCCGATGTTAAATAGTCATTTATAATATATATTTTATATATATTCACAATAATATTCCATTTAAACAGTATTTACAAGATGATTGAAAGGAGAGAGCAATCATCGCACTGATGAATCTTAGTTACAAACTCCTATCGATTGTTTTACAATTTTATCTCTCCCAACTACCCCCTCCCTGGCATTTACACAATATTGATCAACTTATCGGTTATTCCAACACCTTAATTTTGTTTCTAGGATAAAAATTCTCATCTTCGTAATGATCACATCCAGTGAATCGCCATTTAATCGGCGATAAATCTAATATCATTGTTTTCAACTTTAAAAATCCCCCGGTTTTATTTACAATGCCATTATCACTTCTAATAATATTTCTTAATAGACACCTTTTGATGTCGGTAACTTTCCATCATCAGTCGGTTATTCAATATTATTATTCTCAGTCGATAAAAATTGCTTGGTCGATAAATGTAACATCTCGATCGGCAACATATTTACAGTCAATTAATTTATCGTATAATATTTTTTTTTTTATATCTCAGTCGATAAACTCAATTATTGAGTATTGTCGATTCCTACATTTTCATTCGGTCATACGCGTAGATTTGAGGAACACCAGTGATGAAAAAAAAAAAGGATATGAATAATCGAATGCATAAAAAAAAATAACAAGGGGGTTGAAGTTTGCAAAACAAAAATGTGTTCGTGAATTAATGAAAGAATGAATTGTAAAAAATTTCATGTGGACTACCTGGTACACCGATTGGTGTTGAATTAACACTAGAATTTTTCATTCATGTGCAATCATAACGTCAAAACTGTACACCAAGAACGGTGGGACTTTCTGGGACAGTAGTCAGTGTCAATTAACCAGCAAATGTGAAATTTTTTTGAGTTTTGGGGGATGCTGAGTCAAACAGTGTAAAAATTCATTCTATTTTGAGCGGTCTGGCTTCATCGGGCGAAATTGCAAATGCAAGACTCGACGCTCGATATACGAGAGTGACATAGTACTCTTTTTTTTTTTTTCTTTTTCTCTCTCGGGGCAATCAATCGCAGCCGGTGTGCGGTGGTTATTATTTCTGCATTACATAACGGTACAGATGAAATTTGTGGCAGTCCTAATGTCGCCCTTATTGCGCTTGGGGACAATGATAGGGATGATGGATCCGCTCGTACGATAGGACGATTTCGATAAATAATAAGTGGAGTAGAAAAATTGTCTGGGATGAATTGAGGGTAGAAATGTGTATGAATGAATTATAATCACGTGATGTCAATTTTCGTTTCCTCAACTTGAGGTATTTCATCCTCATTCTCTTCCTCGGGGATTGTAATATCAACTCGTCGCTTCCAGCGCTCAAATCTCTCCTCCAATTCATCGTCATCGGGAATATCGAGACTCTCGGTTCCCTCTGACACCTCCTCATCGATCTTCTCGTCCTCCTCTTCAATGATATCGGGCGGCATTTCTGTCGCCCTATCGTCCAATCACGTGTCTCGAAATCTTATGGCTCTGTCCCTTTTTGGACCCGGTCTGGGCCCAGCGGGACGTCACATACCTCCACTCGATGATGTACTTGCACTGATACCGCCATAAGTACCGTCACTACTCTGGCTAACACTGCTGTAGCTTACGCTGCTTGTTTGACCACCGCTACTCATTCCACCCACGTACTGCAATCAAAATTCATCAATTGTTCATTTCAGTTTTATCAAATGATCGGGGTAGGTGATTTTTTTTTTTTTTTTTTTTTTGTGTCAGCGGTGGTGATAAGCTCCTGGGGGTGGGTTAGGGAATTTATCCGCCGACTTAGTCATTCACTGGACGAGATAATCGAAATTTCTCGGGCATTTCACTCGATATTAATGGAAAGGACTCGTGAAAGTTTTATTGAGTAGGAAATTAACGGGAAATTCGAATTAATTGCGGATTCTTGAATTTATCGATGGATTGTTGACAGGTGTAAGCGTTTCTACAGGGAATTGAATATTCAAATTTGGTTTTTAGGTTGACGGAATTTTTTTTTTCATGTTTCACTTGAATTCTCCACGACTTTGGTTTGTTTTTAGGGAATAATTCAGTTGACGCGTTTTATGGTTTTTGAGAAATTCATTTAATTGATTTTGGAAAATTTTTGTCTGGAATTTTTCCATTTTTCAAAAGCAAATGAGGAACAAAGCGACGAAAATGAACCCCTGGAATTGTGACGTACCACAAACACCAAAATTCCTCGTAATGCATGATCAAACATCAATAACGACAATAACGATATTTTTCTCATCACCAAGAATTGAACCAGTAAAATTCACATTATCTATTCACACCATAAATTCACAAAAGCCAGCGAGCATAATTTCCATAACTTCATTAATTCAATATTTTATTACCCAAAATATGATTAATTACAAAGCATTGATAAAGAGAACAAGAGGTACTTGCAATATATTAAATGTCAGTGTGTGCGTGTGAATAATCTGGATTTCGAGTGCAAATCGATATACTACAAGTGGAAGTCGTAAAAATTCACTGGTCGGTGTAATTTTTTATGGGGAAGAAGAAAAAAAAAAAGACCTACTCTTTCCTGCTTTTCCGGACACTTGTGTCGATATTTTTGTGGGTTTCTGCACTTGACAATGAGAATAGGGGGGTGAAACTGACGGATAGGGCTGAATGTTTGAATGGTGGGGGTTTGGTTTTCTCATTCTTCTCATTCGCTATTGGTCACAGAAAGCTGGTGATGTCGGTAATATGGGTATCGGGGTGAGGGTAAAAATTTAAGTGGTGGAGGTAGAGCTATGGAAAAGCCTTGGAGACGATTGAGAGTATCTGGCATACGCCAACAAATGGAGCGTGCACAGTTCGATGCAGTCCTTTATATATTCCCCTTCCCTACTGTCCCCCCCCTCCCGTCTCCATCCACCCGTTTTTTAAAAACCCTCCCTCACTCTCCTTCATCCCCTCTCGCACACACACGCGACCCACTTCTATACGCAATTCATTTTACCACCCTATGACATTTTGCATTGTCACGCCGAATGGTGTTCTACCTACCACCCTCAACTATACCATGAATTTCCACATATTTTTAATTTTATTCCCTGCCTCAAGTTTTTCTCATTCTCAATTTTCCCTTTGAATGAAGCCATTGAATTCTTTGAATCTGAGATTTCAAGTTTTTTTTTTTTTTGGTCAGGATTACTGCATGGGGAGAGGTATTGGATAAAAGCCATTTTTTTTTTTTTGGAATTCCACCCGAAATATGGGGATGAGGGAAATTTCGGGGACCCATTATGCAATTTTTTTTTTTGGAGGGTTCTGTAATTTTCGTGATAATGGCGATGAATGTAGTATTACATTTTTAGTCTGCTTAATTTATTATAAATATTCGGATGATTTATTTTGAAATCGTGTGATATTTATCCGCGTAATGATAGATCGTCACATAAACAAAGAATTGTACCTCCCGAGTAATCAAATGAGTTATAAAATCGTGGTGGAAGCAATAGGTCATTTCCTTTTGCTCCCCACAAATGCAAAAGGAAAGGGAAAATAAAAATGTGTGACGGAACGGAAAAGAGAATAGAAACAGCGTAGTTGGCCTCAAGGGATTGAGTCGTAAAAAGACACACCCCGCGGGTAACCTCATACCATTCGTCGGGATTTCTTTTTCTCTCCCCCTTGTCTTTCTCTCTTTTTTTATCCTTTCACTTCACTCCCGTGTGATACCACCAAGTTTTTGCTAGCGCTCGTCCTCTCAACTCCAGAAGTTGAAATAAAGAAAAAAAAAACCGTCCAGTCACGTCTCTGGGTCTTTCTCTCCTCATTTTTCTATTTTCCGTTTCAATTAATTTTTTAACTTAAAAAAAAAACACAGTGATGAGAGGCTCTGAGACATTTCTTAAATTATTTATCCTGTCTCTTTACTGGCCCTCAAGTTTTCTCAGACATTTTTACTGATTTCAAGACGTAATACGATTTATTTCCGAGGTGGGAGATCCATCAAATTGAAATGGATTTTGGATTAAGTAAATTATACACGAATGATATTGCAAGTTGAAGTAATTGTTTTTGTTAAAGACAAAAATTTGTTAAAACAATTCTGACAGTTGAAATTTGGTTGGCCAACCCGCGAATTTTCCCGTATTGACACGAACTTTCCACATAAATCCCCAGAAATTTTACTAGTAACTTCCAAAACTTAATCAGAAACAGCTACAAATGTTACGCAAATAGCAACTACAATTTTTTATAGCATTAAATAATAATTTTATCAGAATCTCACCGGTTGGCGTAAAAACAGAGTCGCAGTCTTTTTTTGTAATAATCAATTATCATTTCTAGCCTGACGTCAAGCATTGAGGAAAAAATGGGAGTGGGATATTTGAAAAATTTATTTGTCTGTCTGGTTCATTGAAGCCACAGGGTAACACAATTTTCAAAAAAAAAAAAAAAATCGAAAATACCGTAACCCAATTTCCAGGGACATTGAGCATAAATTGAATTGGTCGAGTGTACAGTAAACGAGAGAATTCCATCCCCTCCCCAAATTCACACCCACTCATCTCGTTATCTCCCTTACACCCCATCCCCTCGACTCTTTGACGGGGTGATTGTTCTCTCCAGTGATTCCATTTGGAAATACCCAAGCGGCGAAGAGTGCAGTTACGCGTTTTTGGTTCCGATACAAACGCAAAATCAATTACTCCATCGATGATTAGATTCGATACTGGGGGTGTTGCGTGCAACTGGCGCCATTTGTTAAAACCCCACTGTTTCATACCCCTCAGCACCAGATCCTCTTGACGTAAAAAAAAAATTGAAACCGTCACAAATATTGCAAATGACAATTGAAATTGAAATTGCCCAAAATACGAGAATCGCGTCATTTCGTCAATGAATTCCGACAACTGGTCTCTGATTAAAAAAACCCCGAAATAATCGTATTGCAGGTAGAAATTATTTTTAACCCTTTAAAATTTTTATTCCCATTTTCGTAATCAACTTCATTAACTATACCTATAAAAAATTCCATATCTTCTCAATTCAAGTATTGAAATCCACAAGTAATTATTCTCCTCAGTATCCTCCCGTCAAATTTCATTTCTCACAATAACTTTAACCGGTGATTATATTTTTCGAGTGAAAACACTAATTATAATGCGAAAGCAGTAATTATCTTCTTATCCCCAAGCGCGGATGACTGACGGTGAATTTTTTTTATCATTGAAAATCAAATGGGCAAAGTGTCGTATAGTAAACTGCATAACTGGGTATTTGAAGTGGTTGGAGGTAATTTCCAAAGTTGTGCTGAAATGACGTCATTTGGTTGGCCGTTCACGTCGTCAAGTGGGTAAACGATATAAATACAGAACTAGCGGGATTATACACAGGGTGGGCACTGAGAGTTCACCCCTTTTTGGAGGGGGTCGAGTGGGTTGGGTGTGGGGTGGGAAGAGAAGTATGCGAGGGATGGAAGAGGTACGGGAGAACGCGTTGATGACACCGCGAACGACAGTTGGTAGTTTCCACCTTGGTATATAGTTTTGGTTGTTGATGGGGACGCATGTTCCTATGATCCGCATCCTCCCGTTGGAATTTCATGATGGAAGATATATTCCCTCGTATTACAAAGCTGGCTTTACCCAGTTTAAATTCACACCCCTCTCGTACTTCCGCATACCCAAGACAGTATTGTAGAATGGACGGGCCAGCTTGAAGGATATGCAAATGCTCAGTTGCTTTAAGTGGAATGTAAATGAGGAATGCAATTGTTGTTCTCCAGATGCTCGTCAAATTTTCGTGTCCACCGCTTTAAATATCATTCGAGGAAAATTTTCGATTCTGCATCATTTGAAAATTTAGAGAATTTATTTTTATTTAATCCCATGTCTTAAACTCAGGGGGTAGATATTTAATATTATAGAGAATGAAATGAGTGTTCAGAGGGTTGAAAGCTTTTTATCAAATTATCGTTATCATTTTTTTAATTGAATTCATGTTGCTGGAGGTGCGGAGAATGTAGTCATGGAGTTTTATTTCACCTCAGGTGTCCTTCATAATTTGGCACGGGCAATTTTTTATCCACGAAATGGTGTGAATTAACGCGAATAAAATTTATTCAATTGAGAGAACTAATTTCGTATTAATAATGGCGAATATCCACGTAGGAGAGGGCCTTTATGATTTAATTGTCTAGTTGATGGGGGTAAAAATAGCCTTTATTCGCCTTTTTTAAAGAGATGCTGTGTCAAGTTGTTAAAACCATCTCATCCACTTCCCTCCTCTGACATTTATTATCACTTCTCTTATCCAGTGAACAACTCGCAATTCTCATTTTTCCTAACTATTTCCAGGCCCTCAAGAGACCAATTTTTTATTTTTTATTTTTCGCATCCCCACTCACCCTTTGCCCGAGCTTTTTTTTTTCAACACTTCCTGTACTTACCAACCGTGTGGAAATGACAAGTTGTAAAGCTCCAGACAAAATGCAATAATCTTAGAAACCATGAGTTTTATCCCGCCCTACCGTTACCATCATCCCAATTCCCTGGGCGTTTATTCCTGGACCATAACCCTTCGGTTCTATGGCGCGTCACATGACTAATTGTATTGCCAACGATAAATCCTACCACTTAAAATTTTTTTCATTCCTCATTGCAAATATTCTTCACAA